GGTGGAGAATAGCTTTAGGCAGATGTGACTGATGTCATTGCACCGGCACCGGTTCTCCGAGGGAGCTTGACTTTTCCGTACCTCTCCCAAGCCTGGTTGACTTTGCAGTAATTGACAAGGTGTATGTAAAATTGTAGAGTGCTTTAGAAGGAAGATCGGGCTTTTAATGTACCTTGTGTCATGCGAAGCATGGGAGTCTGAATAGATTAAATTATCAAATACTGTGTTTTGGCTCATAGAAGACAGTGATATTTATTTGCCAAATACAACAGACTTTTTCAAGGAAACATTTCTTGAGCCTCTTGCTTATTTAGCAGATTAGGAGATTTCACTGGCCCTAACGCATGATCTTCCAAAAATATTTTAGTTAATTAGTCATGTGTGCCATTAGCATAGTAAAAACCTATGTTAACGTGACCTAGCAGAGATTTTATCAAACCCATGGAGTGTAAAAGGGGAATGTCTTCTTTAGTGCACAGCAACTGGACAGAGTGATTTCACATTCTTTATGGCTACTCAGCAACCTGTTGTGGCATTGAGTGGTGCAGAGCTTCCACCCCACCATTTTCAGCCAGAGAGGGCCCAGCACAGTGAATGCCAGGGACATACTGGGAGCTTGCAGATTGCCAGAATAAAAAAAAAAATGGTCGGAAGGAACAGCCCTCATGATCTTGTTGGGGGCTTTCTTCTTTCACTTGGTCTTAAACCCTTCATCTCCTGTAAAAAAAGTGAGGTGAGGTGTTCCCACGTTAGGATGAAATTAGCCTGGGTAGGATTCCTGAGCCAGTGCCGAGTTGGCTGTTCTGCTCATGCAGAGCAGCACAGCTCTGTGCAAAGAGGCTTAGTGGGTTCCCCAAAGCACAGTATTAATGCAGGGCTGTACCAGAGCTAGCAAGCCCTGTCTCTCTGAGTTCAGCTGGTTTGGCTGGGCCAACAGTTGAGCTGCGGCACTGCAGTGGTACAGCTCACTGCTTGCTTGCAGTTGCAGAGCTAACCCAGAGATAAGGCAGAGGAGGTGGAGATACCTCCAGAGTTAGGTTTGCCCTTGGCCATTTTTACCCGAAAAGAGGCAATAATTCCTGTCGTGCAAAATTCAGTTAAGGAATATTTATTTTACTTGTGGTAATTCCACATGACCTGAAAAGTTTAGTCTTCAATATTCTGTTACTTCAACATTTTCTAATGGGTATTCTTTTTGCTTCACATTCCTGTTTCACAATTAAATAACTCAGTGTGAAATTTTTTATGGTAGATGTGTCAGTGATATTTTTGTTTATGGAAATGTTCATCTCAGAGAAACAGATAAGACAAAATCCCCCCAAACTCTACCACAAAGACCTGTATTTCTCTCTCTGTACTATTTTGACTGTAGAACATTTTGTACGTTATATGTTCATGAGGATTGAATTGCATACTTCTGTACTTGTAAAGTTGCTTTTGCATTATCAGGGTTGGAAAGGAATTAGTTTCTTAGTATACATTGTCTGGTTGTGGATTCTGTTCTCGATCACTTTTATCTATAAATGACAACAGCTTTTTAAAAAATGTAAATGTTTACTTGCAGTTTTGCAAATAAGGTTTATATGACTTGCTGCTTTGGTTTTGCTTGAGTTAAGCTCATCAGCTCGGCTTGTGTCACTGTGCAAACCTTTAGTTTGAGATTGCTAAACCTAGCTAATCAATAGTACGGCACTATAAGAGCAAGAACAGATAAAGAGGGAAAAACTGAAGGAATAAATTCCAGTAGTCAAATACTGGGCTAGCGCAGAAGTTTGCATATGTGGCCCCTGTATATATAAATGTCATAAAGATACCGAGCGTAGTACATGCATTGAGTGTACAGATGTGCTGTTGTTCATATTGAGGTAACAGCTGTATTTCTTATGGTTGCCTAATGACTTAGGAAAAAAATACTATGAAAAAAGCTTCCAAAGCTTCCTTGATGAACTCAAACATACTTCGTGCATCATAAGAAATGGTGTTTAATGTGTAGTTCCTTTGACCTATAGTGCTAGATGGTGCTGCATATTTGTGAATGACTTTTGTCTCGTGTGTGAATGTGAATACACACACATATGTGTATATAGGTATGTATATCTGTGTGTATACACAAATGTATATACAGGTTGTATGCGTGCACATACATATACACGTACACATATAGGCAAAATAAATGAAAATGTGCACAAAGACGTTTGCATGCAATAGAATGCATAGCTGCTAAATAAAGTCAAATTTTACTGATTTTCATAATAAGGAGCTTTGGTCAATGTCTTTTAAAGTCAATGGTCATCCCTTGACTGTGTGTGTATGTATATGCAGAAAAGATGAATTATAAGTGAATGGTGAAAAATGAGCATGCAGTGAAGGGACAGATGTTGAATTTAAACTGAAAATGAGCACTTAAAATGAGAGTGAAGTTCATTAATTGTAAGTTTGCCATGTTGTGATGAAGGGCAGGTTGGTGGATTTGTCTTCATAGCTCAGCTGATGTACATGAGAGTTTTTCCATTATCTACAGCTGCATCAGGTTATACCTACTGATAACTTTGATGTTTATTTTTTAACACAGAATGAAAAACAAATTCTTTCTCTCCCTGTAGTGCTAAAGTGCGCTCTTTGATGATGCTTTGATGAATTCTGAAATTCTTGCTTAATGTTAATTGTCAGCCTTCAAGCTTGTCTGTGTGGTTGCACTTCTCTTTGACTGATGATTACTTCTCTCAGCCAAGCTAAATAGTAGCTAAGAGAATAGCTTTTTGTATATGTTATCGCAGGTGGGAGATAGTACGGCTAAAGCTTTTGATTTGCTTTCCAAGCATAATTGGTACCTTACAGAGATGTGGCATATTTCATGTTGTTTTCCTGTATAAATTTGAACACACACATTGTTATTATGGCTTTTCAAAAATGTGAAACAGCTTGTCCTTTAGTCGATCTTGGTCTAAACACAATATCATCATAAGGAGGGGGTGGGATGTGTCAGAAAAGAGAAGGGGCTCTGCCTGCATACTCCCTGAGCTGCCTAGTGGCATGGGATTAGCAAGCTGAGGGAGGTAAAACGTGTGTTGTTCATGGACCTGGGGAGGTCTGCTTGTCTGACTGTGTGGCGAGAGGAATGAAGTGACGACCGTGCGCTGTACGGAGAAAGCAAACTGGGAAAAACAGACGAGGGCTTTTTTCCCCTGCTTTGTGCTTTTAATTACTAGAATCCTAATATTTTTGTAACAATGGTTGGTTAAATGATTTCAGATAGCATTGACTTTTTGTTTTGCATGTGTGTGCTCCTTTTAAGGACTGCTGCTCTTCGGAAAACAAAGATATTTGAAAGACTAGAGATGTCCAAGAAAATGGCCTTTTAGAAAAGAGGACCTATGTTGTTTTTCCTAGTAGTAAAAGAGATGGGTCTGTTTATTAAGCCATGCATACCATATGATGCTTCATATTTTCCCATTTGATTTCCTGCAGGGTGATTTCACTTGGAACAGCATGTCAGGGCGCAGCGTTCGGCTGAAGTCAGTTCCCATCCAGAGCCTCTCGGAGCTGGAGCGTGCTCGGCTGCAGGAAGTGGCTTTTTATCAGTTGCAGCAGGACTGTGACCTGGGCTGTCAGATCACTATCCCCAAAGGTAAGGGCTTTGTAAACCTGCTCTGTTTAGATTGTTAAGCCCCTGACTTGGTATCACAGCAGTAAAAGGGAGAAAACACTGCATTGTTTATTCCACAGACATTGTCTTCTGTTTCATTTTTGCTTAAACACAGTAACAGCATAAGAATGACTAGTAAAGCTGTTTGTCTGGTGTGTAGAATTCAGGCCACCTGGGATGGGATCATCTGATAAAGGACAGATGTCTACAGGGTAGATAATCTCAGTCAGACTTATTCACGCTAGGATGTGTTGATGCTCAGTTGAAAGAAAAAGGCTTTTCTCACACTTCCTGACATCCGAAAGTACACATCTGTGTAGGTCAGATAGATCATGCCATAGAAGTGGCATTTTCACTCTGTGTTGTATTGGCTCTGGAGGAAGCCAAGTATCACTCGCTCAGGCAGACAGTGAAGACATCTGCATCAACTAAGATAAATCCTACCCAAGTTTTCCTAGAGACAGCGGTGCTTATTTCGTAGAAAACAAGTTAATTTTAGCATAAAACATTGAACTCCTAAGGAATAGGAGATTACTTGAAAAGGAGAAGCTCAGCTACCAGAATCCTGATGCAGGATACATGCACGTAGTAGACCCATACTTAGGTGACCGTGGAACAGTAAACCTAAACCTCACTAAAACTAATGCAAAAGTTTCCATTGTTTCCTGTAGGAGATAAGCCTACCAAAGACAGCTGTTGTGCAATCATCTGCAAATCTGGCTTTCCTGTTGTTTTTTTCCAGTTGTTATATACTTATTTAAGGAATAACAAGGAACCACTGAATTCTCAGCTTGGGCTATGAGCAGGGGTACTGTGTGGTAGCGCATAGACAGTGATGCTGCAGGACCAGTTTTTTTGATGAATCAAAGTTAAGCAGAAAAAAGTCCAGTCTATGAAAATAATGGTGTGGAAAAGAACAAAAGTGAAAGAACAAATGTGAAAGACATCAGCTTGCATATTTGTGAACTTTTTAGGACTTACAGAAAACTCCTGCCAAAACCAGCAAAGTCCAATTTACCAATCACAGCAAGGCATCAGTTGGGTACGATCAACTTCTTCAAGCCCCACCACAACTCCCCTGGTCTCACAAAAAATGTTCCATCAATTTATAGGAGGAACTGGATCACTAAAGACACTGCAATATTTTCTGGTTGTCTGAACTGCCACTCTCAGTTCCAATGGGAGATGAATATGCACATGTGGAGGTAATACCATCCAAGACAATAGAGTATACACATTCGTAGAATCATAGAATAGTTTAGGTTGGAAGGGACCTTTAAAGGTCATCTAGTCCAACCCCATTCAATGAGCAGGGACATCTTCAATTCGATAAGGTTGCTCAGAGCCACGTCCAACCTGAGCTTGAATGTTTCCAGGGTTGGGGCATCTACCACCTCTCTGGGCAACCCATTCCAGTGTTTCAGCACCCTCATAGTAAAAAATTTCTTCCTTGTATCTAGTTTAAATCTACCCTCCCTTAGTTTAAAGCCATTACTCCTTGTCCTATCACAAAAGGCCCTGATGAAAATACTTTCCTCATCTTTCCTACAGACCCCCTTCAGGTACTGGAAGGCTGCAGTAAGGTCTCCCCACAGCCTTTGCTCCTCCAGGCTTAACAGCCCCAACTCTCTCAGCCTTTCCTCACAGGAGAGGTGCTCCAGCCCTCGGATAATCTTTGTGGCCCTCCTCTGGACCCGCTCCAATCCTGCGCTGTGGGCTCCAGAGCTGGATGCAGGATTCCAGGTGGGGTCTCACCAGGGCGGAGCAGAGGGGCAGAATCACCTCCCTGGACCTGCTGGCCACACTTCTCTTGATGCAGCCCAGGATACAGCTGGCCTTCTGGGCTGGGAACGCACATTGCCAGGTCAGGTCCTGCTTTGCCACCATCAGTACCCCCAAGTCCTTCTGGGCAGGGCTGCTCAATCCCTTCATCCCTCAGCCTGTATTGATAGCAGGAGTTGCCCCGACCCAGGTGCAGGACCTTGCACTTGGCCTTGTTGAACCTCATGAGGTTCACATGGGCCTGCTTCTCCAGCTTGTCCAGGTCCCTCTGGATGGCATCCTGTCCCTCAGGCGTGTCAGCTGCACCACTCAGCGTGGTGTTTTCAGCAAACTGGCTGAGGGTGCACTCAATCCCACTGTCTGTGTCACTGATGAAGATATTAAACAATACTGGTCCCAGTGCAGACCCCTCTCATCACTGATCTCCATCTGAATGTTGAGCCATATTCAGAAAGTTTGAGCTTTGGAGAGTGAATACTATTTTTATGTTCTCCTTGCCATTTCCTGCTGGGACTGCCATGAAAGGCCAGCTGTCTGGGAAAGCCAGAGTCTCGTTCCAGTCCACCCACCCTAGCTCTGCAAGATCCTTTGGAGTCACAGACAGCTTGGCACAATACTGCCAGGGCCTGCAGACTAGGAACTGTTGAACCTTTCATGTTCAGATCTCACACAAGAACAGTTTTTATTTTCACAGCACATATATATGTGGGTAAATATATAATGTGTGATTAATTTTAGATATATCGAGTCTGAAAAGTGTGATTTTAAACATAAAAATTAAATAAGAATAATGATGAAGCAATTTCAAATAAAAGGTACTTCACAAAGTCAACAAGCCAGGCTCATGTTTCATGTCTACTGCTGGCCACATCATTTCATGTATTTTGTGTTTTGGTTTGGATGAGAAATAAAATAGCTATTCTGTTCTGCTATTAAGGTTAGATGTACGAATGAGATTATTGATGAGGCAAATTATTTCACATCTACATACTTGCTCTGAATGACCAGATCATGAATTTTTCTGTGTTCGAAGGTATGCAGGGTGAGTGAATAGCCCATGCAATTGAGTTTTAAAATATTGTAGTACCATCTGTTGAAGGAAGTGAAAGTAATAGCTAGAATTAAGATACATCTAGTATTTAACTGTCCATCCTGTCTCTAAGTCTGGGACCAATTTTGGTGTATCGCAGTAGGTATAAATAATAACTGTTCTGTCGCTCTGTCATGCTGCATATGTGCTGGCGCTTTGGTAGGAGGAGGAGAATCTGCTGTGTTCTTAAGTAACTGCAGGTTGATGTAGGGCCTTTGCAGAGACACTCTGAAGTTCAGCTCGTGTTCTCATCACTCTTGAGTGATAGGGAATGAAAACGTATGGCAAGAGGGTACAGGTAGCCATCCAGATGATTTGCTAACATCACCAAACTGTAAAAGGAGAATTTTAAGTTTTAGTAGTGTGAAACTGGCTCTGGCACTTCGGACTTCAGGAATACAAATAGAATAAAACTCCATCACAGCCATTTGCGTGTCAAGTTGAAAACAGACTGAAGACAGTTAAACATTTTCTGTTTAAAAAAAAAAAAAAAAGTGACACGTAGAACTAGTACTGTCTGTTTGAGAGAGCTGGAGGAGTTCTCTAGGTCTGAAAAGATCTAGGCATAGGAAGACGTGCTCTACAGCTCTCTTCTACTTCAGGGAATGCTGCATGATATGCAGGAGCAGAAGTTAGTGGGACAATCTATGTATTAGAAAATACAGAAAGCTGTTTTAAAAGTTGGAATTCTTTGTGGTTCTTTGACTGTTCTTCAAAATTTGTGAGTGGATGACATTAGAACATGCTCATGCCTGCTGGGCATTTGCTTCCTGGAGGCATGTGAGTAATTGCATTTACTGGCATAGGTATAGTGGAAAGTAAAAATTTATTGTTCTTGGGTAATGAGTGTTTGTGCCAAACGTACTTGCCTGGAAGTTCAGTCAGAGTACAGAAGCATCTGCCTTATCGTTACGCATGCCATTATTGGTTGATTCTTCATAACATTTCAGTCCTACGATGCTCAGAAGCCTCTTTTGTCATAGCCAGTGCAGTTGTTAGCTCTTTTAGGGCACATCTGGCTATTCCCACACTTGTAGAGAAATGCGTCGAATGTAATATCGCATATGTAATCCCTCTCGCTGCATTGCAGCCATTACCGTTAATGAAAAGCATTGCCGACATCTCTTAGTTAAATATTCTGTGGTCACAGAGAGGCGACCACCTCCAACAGGAATTTATTTAAACAGCATGACATTTAAAATGTGCTATGATTGCACTGCAGTAGGCAATTAGAATGAGTTAAAATTAATCAAGAGTTATTGTTTCTGAGAAACTTTTGAGGAAGAGTTAGTGTTTATGAGAAGCTCAGCATGACGCAGCAGTGTGTGCTTGCAGCCCAGAAGGCCAACTGTACTGAGGGATGATGGCTTCAAGCTGAAAGAGGGCAGGTTTACATTAGGTATAAGGAAGAAATTCTTTGCTGTGAGGGCGGTGAGGCCCTCGAACACGTTGCCCAGAGAAGCTGTGAATACCCCTTCCCTGGCAGTGTTCAGGGCCAGGTTGGATGGGGCTTTGAGCAATCTGATCTGATGGAAGGTGTCCCTGCCCATGGCAGGGGCGTTGGACCTAGGTGATCTTTAATGTCCATTCCAACCCAGTCCATTCTGTGCTTCTAGGTGTGACAGAGATGCTTCAGGTTTGTTTCTTGTTCTCGTGTTTTTCTGCCTCGTATCTGTCTTTCAGCTTCTGTAACCAACATCTTTTTCAGCTCTCATGCTTCTCCCCCATCCATCACCTGAAACTAGACCAAGAATGGTTTGTCCCCGCTCTGGATTTAGGTGTTAAGTTGCAAGAGGCTATCATTGCCAAGCAGAGCGTTACACAGTTTCTCTACCGATGCAATTACTCTGTGTGAGGTTTTTCATTTGCTGTCTGACGTTCTGAATGGCACAACAGTCCAGTTCTGGTGACACCTCTTTACAGTTGCTGGTTAGAATATACTGTGTTTTTCTCATTTCGGGCAAGTAAGTCTTCTGTTTATAGTAGGAGAAGAAAAAGCTGTGATGAAATTCACTTTAGGTGTGCTTCCATTTTGGTGACTTTCCAATTATGTGTCCCGTTGTACACAAGTAGTGAGAAAAATGAACCATTTACAGCATGTCCACAAAAA